AATGTGTGGGACCCATCCTGAGGACAGAACATGTCTGTGGCACTATCAGAGATGGTCACAAAAACCCTAAATCCATTCTGACTGGTTGTGTTCCAGCTTCAATCCTAGAAGGCAGGGCAGAAGATGTCACCTAGCCTGAGGCAAGAACCTGCTCAAATAGAGCAGCCAGGACCAGGTGCAGTGAAGGTTCCAGAGACAGCCTGCTGCATCCAACAGACAAGTGCTGCCACCTTGTGGTGCTCACAAAAATGGCCCCACCCACCAATCATGAAACCCTGCCCTGACCCTCCACCCTCTTGGGGTTTCTCAGTTTCAGGTATCCTCTACTCTCAGCTCTACTACCTCAAAGTGTCCTGATCTGCAGGTGTCCTCCCAAATCCCCTATTCTCAGCATGTTCTTGACTCCATCTATCAGCCCGTTAGCCTCCAAAGAGCACTCCTCTCAGGGCTCCTCATCTGACTTTATTAGGACAGTTTTCTGGGCCAAGGAGAACTTGAGGGGTCTCTCTCCCCCACCACCTGAGCCTCTCAGTCACTCAGCACTACTAGGACCCCAGAGATCTGCAATTTCAGTGATCAATGGTATGTCTGTACTTACAAAGCCTTTGTACAAAACCTGTTGCTGGCTTTTCCAGTCTACTTCAGGACTGTTTAAGGTAGGGTAGCTGAGGACTTGGGTATGCATGCACAGGAATGCTGTGTACCCATTCCTTGCTCGTAATGCCCTCTTTTGTCATGCCCATCCTTCACCTCAGTCCCACCCCAGCAATCCCATCTGGAGTAGACCTATCACTGAGCCTTACAGCAGCCCATGTGCTGGATGCCTCTCCTGGATACAGGGGATGAGCAGCTCACTCCCTCACTTCGTGTTTTGAGAATAAATTCAAAGGCAGGTGAAAGGTAACTGACAGTCTAAAGTGACCAGCCATAATCCAGGCTCCAAGGGCTTCTAGGGAAATAAAGTCCTGAGATTTCAGGCAAAAGAGCTTTATCTTATGGTGTGTGCTTGCAATTTAACAATCCATGAGCTCTTAGTAATTGGGTTGCCAACCTTTCAATGGTCCTCCTTTTTCCCCCTGATAAGGTAACAGAATGGGTCAGCAGGTCTATTCCATTTTTAGTGCCCTATAAGCCTGTGCCCAACAGTGGCTCTGGGTTTCCTGGCCCAGGGTGGGACAGAGTGAAAGTGTCCAAGCAGCTGGATGTAGTGATGGGACTGACCTGCCACAAACCCATTTCAAGATTGGCTGTTGGAATCCATTAATGTCCAAATTACCCACGTCCCTTTCCAAACAGGTCAGAAATGCTTGGTTGCCATGATGCATAACCTAGAGAAGGTGAGAATGAGAGTTGTAGAAGCTACAGATAGAGCTGAATCCAAGAGAATATGGAAGCCTAACTATGTTGGAAGGAATTAAATGGAGTGTTTACAACTAGCCATGAGAAGCACTTTCAGATAAATCATCACATTACCTGAGAAGTAGCAAATTCATTTTACAAATGAGAAAGGTAAAGTGAAGACAGGTGTGTTCACAGACGTAAGCTGGCCTCACTACTTACTAGGGAGTAATTCTTTTTTTTTTTTTTTTTAAAGAGAGAGAGAATTTTTAATATTTATTTTTAGTTCTCGGCAGACACAACATCTTTGTTGGTATGTGGTGCTGAGGATCGAACCCGGGCCGCACGCATGCCAGGCGAGCGCGCTACCGCTTGAGCCACATCCCCAGCCCCTAGGGAGTAATTCTAAGCAAGTTAACATGAAACTATTCTCATCAATAAAACAGGGATAATGATAGCTGCCCTGTTGGTTTAAATAAAAATTTTCATTGTAGGTAAGGGCTTTCACACCATCCCTGATCCTAAGGAGTCACTCCAATGCCATGAATAGTAATAGTTGCTATAGCTTTCCTGAGGTCATAAAACAAATTCAAACCCTAGTTTTCTGACTCCCAGTTGGATATTCATGGGGAGAGAAGGTAATTAACTAATGTAGTTTTTTAAGTTCAGTTAGATATGAGAGTCAGACTAATTACCCTATGAAATGCTAAGTGTAGAAACACACACTAGGTGCAGAACTGGTCCAACAGGAGGTTACCTGGAGGGCAAGTGACTAGGAAAACAAATTTATAAGTGTGTAGTATTTTCTCCACAGTACCAGCAAAGGTGGGTCAAGAGTGACTAGAGCCAGAAACTGTAGCACATACCTGCAATCTCTGACTCAGGATGCTGAGGCAGAAAGATTATAAATTTGAGGCTAGTCTCAACAACTTAGCAAGGCCTTAAGCAACTTGGTGAGACCCTGTCTCAAAATAAAAATTTTTTTAAAAATTTTTTTAGTTGTCGATGGACAACTTTATTTTATTAATTTATGTGGTGCTGAGGAAGGAAGCCAGTGCCCCACACATGCAAGGCAAGCACTCTACCACTGAGCCACAACCCCAGCCCCTCAAAATAAAAATATTTTTTAAAAGGGCTAGAGATGTAGCTCAGTGGTTAAAGGTTAAGCACCCTGGGTTCAATTCCCAACACCAAAAGAAAAAAAAAAGTGACTGGAAATCATCTGGGAAAGAAATGATGAAGTGGAGGTCTAAACCTACATCTCTGGAGGATCTTTCTAGTGAGTTGGATGGCATTTTTTGTCTTATACACATACATACATACATACACACACACACACACACACACACACACACACACACACCCTCTTCTATTTTTAGGTTGCACAAACACACCTCAAACTGCAACTCCTAGTCCCCACCACCCACACCACTCTCCTCCCACAGTTTCCTTTGAAGGTAGGCACCCATCTCCACAGAGAATATCACTTCTTATTTTGTCACTGGTCATCTTCTCCCAAAAGAAACAGTAGAAACAATTTTTGGTCAGTGGAAAGTTTAAGCTAGCAATCAGCAAATAGTCATTTATACTACAATGCTGAATATCCTACATTCTGCAAAATCACATTTCAAAAATAACAGAAAAGGGGTTGGGAGAAGACCCCTAAAACCTATGGAATTTTGTAGCCAGAGCGCTAACAGAGCATAAACAAGCCCAATGAGACTAATAATGCTGTTAAATCCCACAACTATATACACTAGTCCCTGGCTTTAAATCTTGGGCATGTGCCATTTCCTGAGATATAGGTCCTAGTAGAGATCAGTTCCATCAAAATTAAAAATGTGGTCCAGGATGGGGCCCTCTTCAATGATTTTTTTAAAAGAAAGGGAGTACACAGAATGAAACTGAGCAAATTATGTTATGTGCATATATGAATGTCATAATGAAAACCACCATTATGTATAAATTATAATGCATCGATTTTAAAGTTAAATAAACAAATAAATAAATAAAACAAAGGGAGTAGAATATTTTCACAGCTTTCTCCTTTTCACTGTTTCCCCAGACAGCTAAACACAGTGGAAGGGCTATTAGTGATTCCTGAAGCTACTAAACCAGTTCCTATTTGCAAAAAAGGATAACATTTCTATAAAACTTTCACCTTTTTCAAAGGTGTTCAATCTTGTATGTGATCTCAAAATGTTCCAGGGGAAATCTCACAGGAACTAACAGAATTTCAGCTTCTTCTGACACGATCTCTCTCCTTACTCATTACACATATGCTATTTCCCACTAAGGAAACGATGTTGTAGGCTGAGGCTATAGCTCGGGGTACAGCACTTGCCTAGATCTAGGGCCAGGGTTAATCCCCAACACTGCAAAACACGTAAACAATGTTATAACAAGCAAACCTTTTTTTTTTTTTTTCCCACAATACCTCTCTTCTATTTATTGATTTTTATATGGTGCTGAGGATCAAATCCAGGGCCTCACACATGGGCAAGTGCTCTACCACTAACATCTCCAGCCCATGCATGGTTATGAACATAATTGCCAATTCACCTAAATGATTTTTGCCTTTCTAGGTTGGAGGTGCTAAGGCCCTAAGAATGGGCAATAGAGATCATGTACTCAACACACTCTAGAATCCAGTAAAGTGCACCCTGGTCCTATGGCTATGCTCAAGCTTCACTCCAAGGTGCCACTATTGCTGGTGATGAGCAAGCCTCACTTAGAGGACATCTCCCCTCAGTAATGAGGTACAGGGCAAGGAGAGGAACCTAAGTACTAGACACCTTGCTGTGATCACAGAAAGCAATTTCCCTGGCCCTGTGTAAGAACACAAGGCTACATCTGATGCAGAAATAGAAACCCCATTTCACAAGTTCACATCACACCAGCCAGTCTGTTTATCCAAAAGGGTCTAAGAGGAAACCAGGAAAAGTTTAATGGAACCTAGGACCATAGTCTTCCTACTGGAACCACTATTCCGGGTGGAAATGTTTCTCATTCCTTGCTCGCCTGCACTCATGTAACAAATATTTATTTGTACCTTCTATGTGCCAGGCACTGGAGACCAGTGGTGACACAAGCAACAAACAATAGTCAAAAAGCCCCAACTAAAAGCAAGGGATCACCATTCTCTAGCACCATCAGGAATGCGCAGCATGACTCTGGGCCAAGTTACACCCTGGTCATGGTCCCTCCATTTGCAGAATGGACATAAGCTGAACTTGCTTATTTCACATGTCTGTTTTCAAAACAGGTTAAGGCATAATTAATTACTTTTTAAATATAAATGCTTTATGGAAAGGGAAAGGAAAGGGAAGAATGGGGAGAGGAAAGGAGGGATAAGAAGGCATTATTTCCTAGGCAAAATTAAAATTCTTTCATATCAAATGGAAAAGGGAAAATAAAATGGAAAATGACTATGAACCCAGGTTTTTCTCATGGGCCTAGAAGTTTTTACAGAACTTAAGGCTTCAGGTTGATTCATATCCTTCTGTTCTTTCTTCCTGAACCCAGTAGGCCAGTTACTTCATTATAAAGTAATACAATACTCAATTATCAGCTTGGGGAAAATAGAAAGGCATCCTAAGAGATGGCCCCCTCTTCACTGGGAGAACCAGGCATCTTCAAAGAGCAAATCAGCTGAGACAACATAATAACAGACTCATTTAATTCTCAGAATTTAGTTTCCTGCTTGATATTCCCTGCAAATATGGGGCCACCACACAAATGTCCTTGAAGCTCTAACCCCTGATTTGTCTGAGCAATATCCACAGGCATCTCAGTCCATCAGAGGTCCAAAAGAAATCTTCTAACCTGGGTCAAATATTGTGGTTTCAAATAGTCACTCAACTCCTCCTTACTGACCCAAACATGACGGCCTTTCTTCCCAGTCTGGGAAAAGTCTCCACTTAGTAGTAGTGCTTTGAAGAAGAATACTTTTGCCCCAAGGTTACTCTCTGTCCGCATTGCCTGGGGGAACTTGAACTTGTAGTGGCCACAAGGTGCATTTCCTAGGAACTTGGCTTCCATGTTGTTTTCTAAGGGAGAAGAAAGAAAAAAAAACAGAATTGAAAGATAAGGTTACACTCATCCCCAAATTACAGGATGTCCCTAGCAAAGTCACTTTTCTCCTGAGGTAAAAAACATTCCTAACAATGAAGACAAGGGCCATTCCAGCAAAAACCCTCCTCATTCTCAATCCAAACGCTTTCTGGCCTGAGGTAGATAGCCTCTGGATCACTCCCAGATGCCAAGCTACCACTTTTAGACTGTAAGTCAGCAATGCAATTAAAGTAGCACTATCTGGGAATCAGAACAGCCAGACACTACATTCAGTCCATTCACCATCTGTCAGTGAAGGACCAGGATACCTTGTATCTAAAAAGCAAAGTTCGCCCACATTTAAAAGGGATATCATGTGCAAAGCACAAAAAGGTCCCCAGAAAATTTCTGCAGTCTATAACTAGAGTTAATAACCCTAAGCCAAGCTTTCAAGGGATGAAGAAATGATGGATTAATTACTACATAGCATCTAATTAAGACTAGCTAGCTAAATGGAAAAACAGAGTTAGATCCCAAACTCAGTCCTCATATCAAAATTGATACCGTAAATTAAAGATTTGGCAGAAATTTCAAATTTCTGTAAAAGATTTGTACATTCCAGATGATGGCTTCATGATCAATTAATTATTTCTGAATCCTTAAGTTTTTCATTTAGAAAATCCTAACCACATTAGAAGAAAATGTGGAATACCTCCTAAATCATTATTGATAAAGGAAGCCCCTTATAAGCAAGACAAAAAAAAATTCAAATACATAAAAACTTATATTTGTCTAAATAAAAACTAAATCTTTCTCTAAGAAAAAAAACAAAGCACATAAAAATCAAAGACAAGGGCTATGGTTGTAGCTAAGTGGTAGAACACTTGCCTAGCACATGTGAGACACTGGGTTCAATTTTCAGCACCATGTATACATAAATAAAGGTCCACTGATAACTAAAAAAAAAAAAACTTTTTAAAAAGGGGAGTCTGAAGGTAGTGCGCCCCTGGGTTCAAACCCCAATACTGGGAGGGGAAAGATAGATAGATAGATAGATAGATAGACAGACAGACAGACAGATAGATAGATAGAAGAAACACTTAAGAGAGCAGCAACTCAGGAGAGTGGGGAAAGAGAATCATAAATTCAAGGCCAGTCTGGGCAAGATCCTGTCTCAAAAAAAAAAAAAAAAAAACATTTAGAAATCAATGAGGAAAAAAAAAATTCAAAAGAAAAATGAACCAAGCATATGAACAGGAACTTCACATGAAAATAAACATTAATAATTAAAGAAGTACAAATTAAAACAATAATAGCATATCATTACAGTCAGGTCCTAAATCCATGGATTCAACCAACTATAGGTTGAAAATATTTGGGGGAAAAACAATTATCTCTGTACTGAATACATACACACTTTTTTTCCTTGTCATTAGTTCCTAAATAGTATAGTATAACAACTATTTACATAACATTTCCATCGTATTAGGTATTGTAAGTAATCTAGAGATGATTTGAAGCACACAAGAGGATATGCGCAGGTTACTTGCAAATACTACACCATTTTGTAGAAGGAACTTGGCACATTTGCAGAGTCTCATATATAGGGGCAGGGTGGGGTCAGGAATCTATCACATACAGATACTAAAAAACAATTGTAAAATTAATTTTTATACTATATTTATTAAATACCATTAACCATATAAATAAACTGAAACTTACCATAATAAATTTTAAAAAGTTTGATCTATACTCTACTTGGGGAAAACTGGTACCTTCAATATATTATGGGGATATAAATGAATATAACTGCCATTGTTTGGCAAGAAGTATCAATTTTAACCATACATACACTTAAACCACTCCATTGCTAGAAATCTATCTTCCCAAATATAACTTATTTGCCCATGTGAGCAAAGATGAGTACCCAAAGATGTTCACTGCAGCTTCACTTGTAAAAGCAATGAACTTTTTACACAAGGTAGTATCAATGTATTATAAAACAGTATGCAGGTGTTAAAAACACTTAAACTTAGTCTTCATAAACTGATCTGGAAAAATGTTAAAAAACTATGTAAGGAAAAAGGAAGTGTGTGTATATATATCCTTCCATTATGTAGAAAAACAGAAGTATAAAATACTATATGCTTGAATATGCATAGAAAATTTCTTAAAGAATACACATAAAAAAAATCTGTTACTGAAGGCTGCCTCTGAAAAGGGGAAATTACTTCTTATACCACATTTACCAAATACTGCTTGGTAATTTTTTCATCATACACATGAACTGCTTTTCTCATGTTCTTTCTTAAAAAAGCACTACTAGTATTAGATGAAGAATTTATATATGGTATGAATTCACATACAATACAAAATCTTGCAGCAGATATCTGTGGTAGAATCATACTAGATTATTTATTTACACTTTTCAGAATTTTCCAAACTTAATTCAATAATGCATGTTGCCTTTCTATGATCTGGAAAAGAAGCAAATCAAAAAGATAAAAACAGCTCATTATACATATAAGCAAAGGATCTGAATAGGCAGTTAAAGAAAAACATAGCCAATAAACATGTGAAAAGATAGTCAATCTCACTAATAAACTGAAAATAATCCAACAGAGATGATTTTTACTAACTGGAAAGGCAAAAACTAAAAAGGGACTATTTCATGTGTTGTTGAGGTCTAGACAAACTGGCACTCCCATATACTGAAAATGTCAACTATTACTTACCTACTTACTAGAGACAAGTAAACAGTACTTATCAAAAATTTAAGTATGCATAACTTTCACCAGTGAATTCCACCTCTAGAAATTCCACCTTGCATATATTGGAAGTATGGAGTCAGCGGGGAATGTATTTCCACTTTTTTCACATATTGTTTGAGCTTTTCTTTGCCTTTTTAATTATTTTCTATTATTTGCTACTTTAGTTTGTGTAGACATTTGCAATAAATCAACATATTTTATATGCAGCTAATAAATATAAACATCTTTTAGTATCATTTATATATTTCCCTTAACATATATTTATTACAATGGGAATATGAAAAAGAGGGAAGAGTAGGACCAAATAAGAACCCCTTCCATGTGACACACAGAAGACAGAATTGACCAGATATGTCACAGTGGTTTGATGCAAAACATCGGGGCACAAGGGTTCTGGCAAGAAACCCAGCTATCAGTTTAAATGTGACAACTGCGTGACTGAGAGGAGCAAAGCTTCATACGTTCCATTGTGCCTTGCTATCTCCTATAGGCCAAAGAGGCCCGTGGTGGGAAGGGGTTAGGGGGCATACACTGCTAATGCTTTGCGAGGAGTCTTATGCTGGTAGCAGGTCTGTCAAGTGGTTGTGCACCACAAAATCCATTTACTCAACAAACACTCAGCAAGCACCTACTTTATTGGGAGTTGAAATCATAAAAAAGAACACATACTGGCCAGACTTCGAGAAATTCAAAATTCTGGCTGGGGAAATTTAGTATATAATAAACAATTATAGTGCAATGGCATATGTGAGAGAATATATTCTCCACTAGAAAATGAGGTCCTAGAGAACAGGGATAGTGCCCAATTCATCACTGTGACCCCAATGCATGGAAAGAACCCAGATGATGGTAAGCACAGAGTAAGTGTCTGGTCTTCTGTATAAAGTGCACAGGCATGCACTGTGGGAACCCAGGAGCAAGAGGCACTCTCTCTATCTAAAAGCTCAGGGAAGGTTCCACTACAAAAGGTATACAACATATGACCTATGTCTTACAAATTGAGCAGCCAGGCAATGAAGGACAAAACCATTCTGTCCAGGGACCAGCATGCCCTAAAGCAGAAACGTACAAAAGACTACATTATTTATTCAAGGAATGTAAAAGCTTTACTAGGTTAGAACCTGGAATATAATAAACTCAGCAAGACAGAAGACTATCGAGATCAGGACCACAGCAAAAAGGATTTTTAGGCTATGCTGAAAAATTTGAATTTCTATGAACAACCTTTAAAGAATTCTCTGCAAAGCATGACAAGGGATTTGTGTTTCAGGAAGCTCATGCTAGCAGTATGGAAAGGTATGACACAAAAGCAAGGGGAAATTCTTTGGCATCCCCTTCAACCATCTAATATAATGGTTCCCAACCACTATAATTTTGCTCTCCAGTGTGTAAATATAATTTTGGTAGTAGATGGGAATAGGAATGAGGTTGTGCTTTTGAATTGTGTGGGCAGAGGCCAGAAATACTGCTAAACATCCTACAGAATAACCCTTTATAAACATGAGTATCCATTAACCTTCCCACTCCTTACTCTTAAGCCCTTTATCACAATCAGCCTATAAATCATCTGGTTGAGTCCGAAGTGAATCTTGTAGGATTCTGAGGAACTCACCTGAGAGTGCAGACAGGGTTCGCTCAGCTGTCCCTCGGAGGGTCTCCCCAGGCTGCCATTCTGTCTGGGGCAGCATCCAAACATCCTCATCTCCAAGCTTCTCTCTGACTAACAGAATAAGGTTCCTGTCTAGCTTCCGGTGCAATGAGGTTCGGTCATTTTTTTTATCAGCTTCTATGAAAAGGGGGTGAGTAAAAGCAAGAAGGCTGTGATCATCTGGGACCAATGAGCTTTGAGTTTTAAAGTTTTTCTTTAAGGGAGTGTCATAATCCTTTCTCTCAAAGAAATTATAGTCAAATCTCCCCTCTGACCCATCTCTTTAATTCTAATTCTGACCTCTTTCAGGGTATAGTCTCATACTCTTAAGGAAACTGAAAAGTAAAAAAAGGAAACCAAGAGTTGAACTTATCTAAAAAGTAAAACATATTCTGAGCCTTTAAAAAAGAAGCAACAACCATAACTCAAACACAACTGCTTAATTCAACTTAACACTATTACTGATCTAACTAACCCACACTTTCTCTGTTCTTCAGCCTGCATCTGTAAAACAAGGACAACAGAACCCCCTTCCATAAAGGTGATTTCCAGGGCTGGGGCTGGGGCTCAGTGGCAGAGTGCTTGTTTAGCATGTGTGAGGCACTGGGTTTGATCCTTAGCACCACATACAAAAAAATAAATAAAATAAAGGCATGCTGACAACTACAAAAAAAAAAATTAAAGAGTAATTTCCAATAAAACACAGAACTAGAAGAAAAAGGCCTACTTTAAACCACTCTCTGTCCCAGAATGGGAGTTAAACTCAGACAACATTCATAAAGCTTAACTAAGAGAAAAGGCTACCCCAACATTCTTACCCACCCCCCACTCAAAAATAACATGGGCCTTTTAAAAACCATATTAGGGTAGATGTGAGGAATTGGGAAAAGAATTTATTTTCCTCAAAGTTGTTTTGTAACTAAAAATTGTTAGGTCGGTGCACACCTGTAATCCTAGCAGCTCAGAAGGCTGAGGTAGGAGGATCATGAGTTCAAAGCCAGCTTCAGCAACTCAGCGAGGCCCTAAGCAACTCAGTGAGACCCAATCTCTAAGTAAATTACAAAAAAGGGCTGGGGATATGGCTCAGTGATTAAGAGCCCTGAGTTCAATCCCTGGTACCAAAAAAAAAAAAAAAAAAAAATGTGTTTGTTAGTTAAAACACAAAGCAGAGGCTAAGTAATTGTCCTATATTTGGGAACCAGAATACCCCTTTCACTTCTTTTTTTAGATTAAAAAGATCATACCTGTTATCCGAGCTCCAGGTTTGAACTGTAGGAATTTCTGCTCCCACATATCTTCCAAATCTTGCACAAGCAATATATCCTTTTCATCTTGCTCTTCATCATAAAGATCAGCTTTCTTCTTTGCCAGTCGCTGGGCTTCATCTAAAGCACGAAGCTCATGGTCTGAATATAGGCTGTTTTCTATCTCTATCTAGGAAAATTAAAAAGACAAACAAAACTAGGAGAATATAACAAAGCTACAGCATCCTTGATAGACTCAGAAGTTTATCACTTAATATTACTAGACATACAATTAAAACACTGAACAGAGAGAAAAACAGAGACAAAGAAAAAAGGTCACCTGCACTTAAGCATAAGTTACATTTGCCAAAATGTCAGAATGTGATTGGAGATCAAAACTGCTACAAAGAACAAAGGAATGGGACAGGCATTGCCTGCCTACTTACCATGCTCTAGTCATAGTAGTAGTCCTTGATCATCATCTTATTCATCAAGGACATTCCTGCCTCAAGGACTTTACAGAAGTTGCCCCTTCTTCCTAGAGTGTTTTCCCTTGCTTTTTTCTCCTAGAACAATTTCTACTCATTTGTATGATCTCGATTTAAATATCACTCTCTCAGAGAGACATTCCTTAGCTCACCCATAAAATGTCCCTGTGAAGCACTTTCATAGAACCGTTTTCCTTTAAAATATTTATCAGAATCTGCAAACAGTCATTTGATTATTTGGGTACTGACTCCTCTCCCCTACTCCACTGAACTCAAGGACTCTGATAACCAGAACTACTCCTGTCTTATTCACTACTGCATATCTGTCGAAAAACACATGTCTGATATATGCTACGAACATCTGTAGGGTATGAATATGCCAAGTGAGAAAATTAATAAATTTAGCAAAAAACAGAAGAAAAGCTTAAAGCTATCAGTAACCTAAGACAAAACATCCCAGAATCTGAGGAAACCTACACCCTTTAATCACTGTATGTGGAGATATAACATCTTCACAGCCACTACACTCAGCTTTTACCCATATTTCCTCACTTGCCCTTCACAGAAATAACCCGGTGAGGTAACAGAGCAGACTCTATCGCAGGCATCTCACAGATGTGCCCACTGTCTCCTATACTTCATTCTAAACACTCATCACATCACAAAGATTGTATCCCCTCCAGTCTATGAGTTCCTTTTAACAAGGACCGATTCTTGTTCGCGACCAGATCCCTACTGTTCTGAATGAACAAAAAAGAATGTTTTACTGTATGGAATTTGCATTTAGGTTCTAAAGAAAAGAATCTGTAGAGAAATCTATGGAATGTATAATTTGCCCAGATTAGTTTTCATTTGAGGAAAGGAGTTCTGAAATCTCTTCAAAGTTTACTCATCAATTGAAAATCTTTCAAAAAGAGATTATTAGGAAACTGGTGTGTGGTGGTGGAAAAGAAAAGCTCCCTCAGTTTTTGGAGGGAAAACTTTAAAATTACTTTAATGGCTAAGTTTACTTGGTGCAGTTAAGAATTAAACTTGTCAATTTTAACATTGCTGTTACATCTGAAATAAACTTATGTGATGTTCTGGTAAAGAAAAAAAAAAGAATGAATCTACAAAAACTGCCCCAAGTGACAATAATAAGGCCATCAAAAATAAAATATTTGTTAAATGCCCATTACATACCAACCCACCTTAATAAGATTTGTTTCATCTTGCAGACAAGTGTACGGAAGTTCAGGGTAGTGAAATGTCTTGATCAAAATCACACGGACTAAATGGTGCCAGAGTCAGGATCGAACCAAGGCCCGTGAGCCGTTATTACCTCCCCTTGCACTTGTGTCTCAATCCTACCTGCTGTAGCAGAGCTGCCATCTCTTCCTGCAGTGGGGTCAGCGGCTTGGAAACGAGCGGTGGTCGCTGCAGACACAACGCGCCCAACAAACGCCATGGGGATTCCCTTTTTGAGGGTGCGGCCTCAAGGACCAGGGTGCGAGAACCCAGGCTACTTGCCCAGACCCTTTCGAACCTCCGCCAGCCCCCCGCCACACCTGACAGAGTCCGCCTAACGGACACCGCCATCTTTCTCCCTTCCCACAATGCATCGCGGCTCCAAGCGGAGTCCTCAACCAACCCCGTATTCCCATAAGGCAACGCGGATGGCAAGATCAGGAACAGTACTATCCCAAGAACTATTGGAACAAACCATTCCTATATGGCGGGTGGTGCAGGTGAAATTCTCATATTAGAACATTAAAAGGGGAAGCGAGTCCCAGGTGAACATGCAACTATAGTTTTCATAGAGCACTTAAATTTGAATAAAAATACTTAATGGGCCTTTTAGAGAGCAATCAGATGACTTTCCTTTTTTTTTTTATGTCAGCCCCTCGACTTTCCTTTCTGTACTCTCCAGTACAGGCGCTCAAGGTGCTGGCGTCACTCCAGCTACGCCGGAAGCGGCCGACCGGAGCTGACTGGGGTCAATTCAAATCATGCAGGTTGTGAGAAACGCGGGGTCGAGGATCTTGCGGTCTTGGGCGCTGACCCCGACGACCGGGTAAGAACGATTGCCTTCTGGAGCCTATGGCTGTCTTCAGGACTGTTCTCCTAACAGTGTCCTATATGTTACTTGGGTTCCGGTGGCCGGTAGGCCGGGGCTTTTTTGAGCTTTCCTTCTCCGCAGGATTGTAGTCCGAGACCCATCCCGGACTGTCCACACCGGAGCCCAGGTACTGCAAGATGCGGCGGCCAAGCCGGAAGTTGAGGAGGTGGCTCCGAGCCACAAGAGCTTCAGGTGAGGGCCACTTCTGGTCCAACCCTTTGGAAATACGCACCCATGCAGTGTCAGAAAACCAATGAATTCCCACTCTTGTCATTTGACTTCTGTGGGGCCTTGTGCAGATCTAAGTCTTATCTAAAGTGGGGGGTAATACTCAAGATTATGGAAATTATAAATGAGATGAGCTCTGGCACAAAGTAGCTTCACAGTGAACATTAGTTGGTTGAATGACTGAATGTCAGAATCTGTGTATAACAAATATGAGCTTTCTTAATCCTTTTGAAATGAATTTCATGTCAAATTAACAACCTCCCTCCTCAGACACAAAATGGAAAGAGTGGGGTGACACACTATGGAACAGATTATCCTGCATTTCTTGGAGCTGATTAAAGGTCCAGGGTGAGTTTTGTGTTCAGCCCTAGAAACTGGCACCTTGCTTCCCAGCAGTGCCACTACCTCTGTGTGCAGGGAGTGTATATGTCCACTTACCCTCACATCCAGTACAATGCTAATTGCTGGATATATAAAAGACTATTTCCCTCCTTAGTAGCATAGGGTCGTCCAAGAAAGGCATATGTGCAAACGTTTTCAACATAATCTGATTAATAGTATAATGGAGTTAGAACTGGTTGGAAGTATGAAAGAATAAGTATCCACTCCCAAGAAAATCATGCAAGATTATGGTAAGACAGTAAGCTTAGTGAATTCAATGGGAATTCAGCTGGACAAGATAAAAGGGATCATTGTAAGCAAAGATAACAGTCTGTGAAAAGGATGCCTCAACCTTCCAAATAACTGGCATTACACTTGTGCACTACCATGCCTGTCATGGTAAAGGTATTTTTCTGTCACCCTAGAGATTTCATACTCTCCACTGCAGACAGTAAGAAGCTGCTGAAAGGATTTAAACCAAGAATCTGTTGCAATCATTCATTCAACAATGCCAGGCACTATTCAAAGTGTTGGGGTTATAACCCTGATCAAACAAGCAGGGCTTTTTTTTTTTTTTTTTAGCCCTGCTTCTATGCAAGTTAAATTTTAGTGGGCAGGATACAATAAATAGAAAATAAGTAAAATATGGGAGTTATAACAGTGGGAGGTAGGGATACCAGCAGGCATGTACAACAACATTCTGTAGGGCTCACAGGCCATCTCTAGAACTTTAGCTTTTACTGAGATGGAAAGCTACTGGGGAGTTGAGTAGATGGCTGACATGATCTTGCTTACTTTTTAAAGAGAGTTTATTTGCTATGTTGATATTAAATCACAGGGAGCAAGGATGGAAGCTGGAAGAAATCTTCCAAGGAGTTAGAATAATAAATAAAAATAATTTAGGCAAGAAACAATGGAGGTTTGGGCCACGGAGATGGCTGTGGAAGTAACATAAATAGACTGATTTGTTAATATAAGGTGTGAGAAAAAGAAGAGAGTGAAGAAATACTCCAAATTTTTGGGCCTAAACAACTGGAAAGATGGAGTTTTTATTTTATTAATATGGAGAGGACTGCATGAGTTTAGGTTTGGCTGGTTAAATTGGAGATGCCTAGTCACTAAATGGAGATATAATGAAGTCTGTTAGAGATTAAAGAGATGTAAAAGAACCAGCAAGAGACAAGGAACCTCCAGAGAGGTAGTAAGAAAACCAAGAAAGTTTTTGTTGTTGTTGTTTTTCGTTTGTTTGTTTTCAGTGTAGTCAAATGGGAAATCAGTGTGTCAAACACACTGATATGATAGGTGGGTGAAACAATGTCAAGATTGCACATTGGATTCACGTGTGGAGGTGGCTGGTGACCTTGATTAGAGCACATTTAGTGGAGTGGTAAAGGCTACTGTCTGATTAGAGTGGGTGCAAGGAGAATAGAAGACAGGAAAAAAATGAATATAGTTAGTTCCTTAAGGAGGCTTTGCTGTAAGAGGGAGTAAAATAATGGGCAGCTCAAGGAATCTTTGGGTTCAAGAGGTTTGGGTTTTTCCTTAGATTTTAGATATGACAGTATGTTTTGCTGCTAGAATGATGCATAGAGAAGGGAAAGAATGAATACTGAAGTGGAACATTGCCGGAGCACTGTCCTTGAGGGACTAATAGGCAAGTGGAACATGGTAATGGGATAGACAGCAAAGGCTGTGGGCACAGGTGTTTGGTAGTGGGAGCCAGAAGAAATTCTGATTGCTGCTCTTTCTCTGTAGAGGTCATCAGCTGGCATTGAGGAAACAGGAAGGAGTTGGAGGTTTAGGGAGACAAAAGAAGGAATAAAAGAGTCATCCAGAAAAATTGAAGGGTAATTGGACTAGGGATGATTGCCAGGCAGTGCTGAGTGTCCATCTGATGCTAGAAGTCATTCACATAGGGGAGTGATTCTCAATGGGGATTGATTTTGCCCTCAGAGGACTTTTTTGCAATGTTTGACAACATCTTTGGTTATCAAAATTTGGGGACAGTATTTAGTGGGTAGAGGCCAGGGATGCTGCTAAATACCCCACAATTCACAGGGCAGCCTCCTAAAACAGAGAATTATCTTGCCCAACTGTCAATAGTGCTGAGGTTCAGAAGCCCTGGTAGAGAGGTTAAGTCAGCATTACTATGTATTTGCACAGCTCAGAATGACTGGCAAGGTGGATTTGACCACAGTTAAGGATTTGCTAGGAGAATACAATGAAGTAAGAGGAAACAGCATCAAGAGTGTCTGCAAGGGAGTAATTGTCAGAAATTGGCCACAAGATTTAGTCTAGGTGAGGAGAGAAGTGGGGACATGAGGAGTGTGAGGGACAATGGAAGGCTGGTAGAGTTATTGGATTGTAAGTCCTTGTGAGATTGAAAGATCCCAGAGTGAAGACAGCAGGGGAAGTGAGTGGGTGTGTCAGGAGGTGGTTGCTAGAGAGTGTAGTATTTGAAATCAAAGTTATGATGGAGTTACAAGTATTGGTAATGACAAAGGTTAGGTGTGACCAGGGCAGTAAGAAGCCAAACTAGAACAGAAGATGTGATCACTGAAGGAAACAATGTTTAGAAATAGAAGCCAACAGGAGTTTTGTTAAGGACCACTAAGCCAGGAGCTGTGGTCTTTGCCTTTTTCTACATTTGTTTGCATTTTTAAAAAATTATCTCTGGCAGCAGTTACAAAATGGTTTGCCTCTCTACGTTTTCCTGGTGTGAGTGTAAATAGAAAGAGGTAAGCAACCAGTACCAAAAAGCTTTGTCTTTTATGTTTAGGGACTTCCTTAGATAAACCACTTGTTTGTTTACACATTGAACCTGGGAGGTTTAAAGGCCTGATCTTGCCTATGTTTTCAATTAAATGGCTCAACATCTGAATCCTTCCTAGTTCCAAAACCATAGTATCTACAAAAGGCATTACACTCAGACTTAGTAGGTTTGTGTTTGTTGACCCCCAAGTCAACAGGGGGTAATTATCAGTAGGGAAATGATTATCATTTCTTCCCCCCGCCACCCATAGTACAGGGATTGAACCCTGGGTCATTTTACCACTGAACCACATACCCAGCCCTTTTTTACTTTTAGAAAGTCTCACTAAGTTGCCCAGGCTGGCCTTGAACCTGCAGTGGTCCTGCCTAATTCCCTGAAGCCAGTGGGATTACAGGTGGGTACCATCACGCTACACCCAGCTGAAATGATCATCTTATAAATGTTAATGTCATCTACAAGATTCACCCAATTTCCATCCCAGCATATAGACTGATAAGCCAAAGCATTGGGAGGTTCTAAATCAAGATCAGACCCACAGGAAAGAATACACTTGTAACTAATGTGCTATTGTTTTGTTTTGTTTTTGAACGTTTCTCTTGGAAAGCCAGTAGGGCTGAGGGAGAGTGGCAGAGTTCATTGTAGTAAAAGTCGAGCATGGCTGTGTGGAGTACACACATGAGTTTGATGTGGGTGTACGGGCAGAGTAGAACAGTGGGTTTTCTCCCATCTGCAATACTGAATGACATCCATATGTGTTTAAATTGTGAAAAGCACAACTTTGTGAGTAAAACTCGCAACTAAAGCAGATCTCCTAGGTCCACCGCCTGACTTCTCTTGCCGACCTTATGCTCCTATTTGTACCTGAGCTTCTCCATCTGAAAATAAAAGAGTACTTACCCAAAGAAAACTAGAAAATAGATCAGGCAAAGCCAAAAGGTCTTGAACTCAACCACAATGTCTAGGCCAGTGCTCCCAACCCTTAGTGCACATCTGAGTCACCTGGAGTATGTGTAAATAGGTTCCCAGGCCCCATCCTTAAGTCTGAGTGGCATTAAGCATTTGGATGCACCCAGGGGACTCTGCTATTCAGTCCACATTGAGAGTCGCTGGTCTGGAGT